GCATGTCTTTGAACTCCTTTGTATCTTTCCCTAATTCATGTCTCATCATGCCTAATTCTAATCACAATCTGCAGTACTTGCAAACATCACAGTTGGAAGTTGTCCAAGCCAGACTTTCCATCAAGCCCTTGAGAATAAAAGTGCTCAAGATACTCTTTTATTGTGTTGTCTCGGTACACAGAACCCTGATCAGCTTAAATCGATCAGTTCCTTGTTAGGTATTACAAAGAAGAATAAACATGCTAAAGCAGTAAACTACGTAACCATCTCAAATTCGCAAACATCACAAGCTCATTCCATAATAATACCATAGATACACATATGATAACAGATAGAGTCTGCAACATATTGAGGAGAAGAAATTGCCAGGTCCAGCAACAACTGGTTAGAGTTCATTGTTGTTTAATAATCTCCTGATCTTTAAGTAATTAAGACTGCACGTAAGTGGGCATGGCTTCCAGTTTATCACATATTGAGTGATGAGTTGAAGGCGATTTTGGATGATCTGTAAAATGATCTTAATGTTTACTGTTATTCATACATCCCAAAGCATTGAACCTCGGGTTATAAACCTGAAAACCATATTATTTTTTTTGATAAAATGTAGAAATTAATTCATCACACCACCAAGAGTACATTCCTGAACAGCATACCGAAGTACAGTCAGGTTGAAAAACAACCCATGGAGACACCCCTCCATACTGTCAACACCCATATAGCACCCCCATAACTTAAAAAAAACCTGAAAACCATATATTTTCAGATGTGACCATCCAACGGCATTCTCTAGAACATCTATCCATATCTCTATGTTCATCGTAAGCGTCAAAATGCAACCATGCACCCATGTTCCATTGCACGTCGCAGTAGAACAAGGTTGCTCCAAAATTCAAGAATAGGCGTGGTCTGAATGACCAACTAATCTCATCACCATCGTTGACAATTTTGTAGCCAATATCATCATCACGTGATTGACAGTGAATATTCATTGCCGTCCCATTTCCTAATCGATTTAAAATTCGAACATGTGTCTTCCCTGATACAATTGAGAATGACATATTGAATAGCAGGATTGCAATGGGAAAATAAGCTATAGATCTCATATTGACTTGTTCCTGCATATACTGTCATATGTAATTCTGCAATTTATATAGATGTTTTGGCTCTTCACAGGAACAAAGAGAGATGACAATTTACCAATTGCCACCTTTATTTGATAAAGTTAAAAAATAAAATACTCATCATTCAAAGAATGCCCTACTACTTTTATAACTAGCCAGCATTAAGCAGTGAGAGCATTTGTGAGACATTTTTGAATGATCACTACTTTTATACTGATCATTCAAAGAATGCCCTATATATTTACTCTTAATCAAACTATCTAAAGCACCTTGATTATCCAAATAAAATAGCGGCAGTGAGAGCATTTGTGAGACATTTTTTTTTACCTACAATATAATCTAAGACCACGCAATACTAATATTGTATGGGAAAGAAACTGTGGGGGTTTTGTATGGGTTCTACTTAGCTTCATTAACACTTAAAATCACAATCACCATGCCAGCATAGTATATCCTTGCTAGCAACCTGCAACCCCAAATATAGATGGCCAAACCAAGTGGAGAATCATATCGATCATGGCTCATGTTTTTAGATTACAACTACAGCAAAATGCATATGAAGCGTTTGTAGTACGTCAAACGGTTAGGATAATTGCCTTCCAAGCAATAGACCCAAGTTTGACTCCCGACAAACGCAACCCCTTTGAAAATAATTTTGCTGATTTCCAATCACAGGTCACCTTTTTTTTCCAATTCTCAATTATGAAAATCATTTTTATGGTTGCCAATCACAGTTCACCCTTTTTTTTTTGAATCCTCAATTTTTCTGTTAGTACTATCCCCGGCGAATTGATTCGATCTAGCTATACCAGTTGAACCAGTTTACCAATGGTAAACAAGGCACGTACCTAGGTACTCGACAGTTCTTGGGAAAGAATACCATGCTGTCAATGTATATTACAGACCATGCAGAGGTCAGTATGCAGTGATGACATTGCAGTATTTCAGGAATGTAATGTCGATAGGAGAAAGTGGAGTTTTTGGCGCTTAGATACATAGCTGCCCTTTACAGAACACACAATTCACTAACCATAGATGACCTGTTAGTGTGGTAGAATACTCAAATAGTACAATGTATAGAGTATAAACGTATATAGACGCATGTAGTCTGCAATTGGCTTGAAGGAAAACTATGTTTGTTATACTACAGTACACATATAAAAACAAGCTCTAGCTAGTAATTGGATCACTCTAGAGTCTAGAATCAGTTTTAAGGGGGTCATATATGGAATTAATACTTTGTTTCTTGATATATTGCATCTGTCTCTCCCACCTCTTATTGAAGAGATCTTGAAGGAAGTTGTGTTAGTTGCGAAATTGGCACTTGCATGTGTTAACGCAAGTCTTGAATCTCGAATGAAGATGGACATTTGTTTCCATGAACTATCGAACTGCAGGGTATCTCATTTGTGGTGAAAGTGTGAAACCATAACAATTGGTCAACTACTGAGTGAAGATTTTTTTTTATGGTTACAGAGGTAGATTACTTATTGTCTTTTTTTTTTTCATGTAGTCCTCGGCAAATTTGGAGGGCTATTGGGGGTGTACATAACTCAGGCCATGTACCTGCTGCACCTAGGAGATGTCTGTCCTTAGGAGAGATCCTAGTGGTAATTGGGAAATGTATATACATGGAAGATTCTGCCACTCGTCAGTGATATTGATTTATAAGAGAGAGTTGCTGGCTTAAATGAACAGAGCTGATCACTGGTGACACAGGCAAAGGGAAGCCAGAGACAGACGCATGCTTCCATGGAGATGGTTTTAGACTATAATCTGTGTAATCACCCTATCAGTATTAACTGTCCAAGCATGTACCCAAGAAACAGAACGTTTCTGATCAAAACCTTCAGCTAAAACAGTTGAACCAATTGCAGTAATATTACTTGGCGCAAATAAAAAAGATTGTTGTTGGGTCGTTGCTGTATCGCTATCACCTCCAGTAAGTAATTGGCTCATATGTTGTTGATGACAATGTGGACCATGAAACCACCATTCGATATCAGGCACGAACAGTATCTACGTCTCGATTGCTTAACGCTTCATATAGCCCTAATACAAGCCTTATATTTGCTTTTTCTTCCTCCAGAATTTTTTTCCTGTAAGTTAGACAGTTCAGAAAAAAAAAAGCCAATACAATAAAAAAAACAAGAAACAGAGAAGAAGAAAACATAGTGACATGAAGCCTTTACATAGCTTTTCAGCAACCCCTACAGTCGGTTGGACTTGGATTTCTAATTCAATTCAAACTTTGTTAGAGCATTCCCAATGGTAGGTGGGGTGGGCAAAAAAAACATGAAATCCACCTCCAAGAGGAAAAAAGAGTTTCCCAATGGAGAGGTGGGGGTGGGCACCTC